CCCCCCCCCCCTTTTCTGTCTATGAATTTATATGGTCAGCTTTAGAGGTTAAAAAAGATTAATGTTTATCCTGTTAGACATCCATTAAGCAGGCTTAGATCAGATCCGTTTTATAAAGAATAGGCTACTTGGAAAGAACACGAATTTCCAACCAAATATCCCTTCAATCAATGCACTTTAAAATGGTAGCTTTGGAGTAAAGAACTTATTGAACTATTTTTATTGTTGAATTCATTAATGTACTAAACCTTACTTTTCAATTCAGATTATACAAACTTGCGCTGAAAAGCGGAACATTCAAATCAATAAAGCATTATGTTTATATTACTAACACCCTATGAATTTGGCTCAGGTTCGTGTCTGATCGGTGGCGTCGGTTACTGACATAGAATATTAATAAAGGAACAAATGAGAACAACCTCTTCTTCTTTATCTTTAACTCGTTAAGACTTCTACTCTCTTTCGTTCTTCACATGTGATATTTTAGTAAAATGTCGTCGAGACAAACGCTGCCGGTCGTGTTGTTGTCCAGCAGATGGCTCTCTTACACTCTCTTACTCTTACACAACAGAGCATAAGGTACACAAGCTAGAAGACACCACCTCTCAATTTTTCTGAGAAAATAAAGTTATTAAAAAGTGTATAATTCAGACGAAAGGAAGGGCAGTATTACTCTCCACGCAGGAATATTGCGTTTTTAAGTTTTATTAACACACACTGTAATAGCGACTCTAGCTAACTTTGCTAATTTTACGTGGCAATCGCAATATCAACAATACAAAAACCACTATAGCTGATAAAAACGAAAAAAAAAAACAGTTTTACTTAGACAAAAACATGTCTCTTTTGAGAGATCACAAGATCCTGCGTATTTTGCTCATTGTCCTTTCTCAATTTGCTTACATTGTTGCTTTGATTATCAACGCGCTCGCGGGATCAGGAAAAGGTACGTGTATATAAGTTACAGATATAATTAGTCGTATATACAACTAATTTCACGTTGGCTTTTACGGTCCATTTCAGCGCAGCACTGGAAATATATCAGACAGATATCAGACAGAGATCACTCCTGCTGGATGGACTTTTTCGATATGGGGTGTCATCTATTCCTGGCTCTTCCTGATGAACGCATATACCCTGACCTGGCTCTGTAGAGGGTATTTCAAACCACACACACTCCACTCATATCAACACTTTGCTTATTCACACTGTTTGAAAGCCATTTATTATAGTTTGACAGTCTTCGCTTGAATTATCAGGTTGTACTCAAGTCCAGCAATCCTGCCCTCTGAATTCTTTCTCTCATGGATCATCAACATGATTCTGAACAGTACCTGGCTGGTCTTGTGGGATAGAGAGTAAGTTGTAGGCAGCCAACATATTTTGTGGCATAATCATAGGTTTGCATGGTGCTTTGCCTGTGGTTTCATGTAATGTCTGTAGGTCACATATTTGTTTTTTATTGATTCAGATTGATGATTCCTGCACTGACTGTTCTTGCCCTGATTGCTTTCACCAACTACCTGATGATCTTCTTCTCTTGTATTGGTCTACGAGCTCATGGATCTTGGCTTAAACAGCAGCACCCAAAAGACCTTTTCTGCATCATAGTGTTGGTATGCACTGAACATCTTTTTGGAATCGCTTTGACAAGAGGCAGAGTACTCATATTTATTTATTTAAAATAAAATGAACTTGAACATGAACACTATCTCATATGTAATGTATTTAAATACAGTATCAACCCAAACAAAAGACAGCAGGTAAATTAGGTGCACTACAGATTTGAAATGTTTGAAATAACAATGCCATATATGTACCTTAGGTTCAAAATGGCATTGCTACCTATGCAACATGGACAACCATTGCCACACTGCTCAACTTCACTATTGTGTTGGATCTAGCATCAGTTTCCCCAACAAATGCTGCTACAGCTTCTTTATGCATACTTCTGTTGGAAGTAATTATATGGTAATCATAATAATTTATTTTCTGCTATAATCTTGTGATATGGCTCAATGACATTTTTTTTTGTTTACATCTGTATATCCAAAAATACAGTTTATACATAAAGTGATATAAGTACACATCTTCTATTATGAGCATGTTTTTATCAAGTTTAAAATATTGAATAGATTTTAGGGGAGGCATAAAGTCAAAAATGTCAGGTGATACAACTGATATATTAATGAAGACTAGAATAATGAAGATTAAAAATTAAATTCTTGACAAGAAATTAAGGAGTATTAAGGAGTTTGGCATTTTGGCTTTTATTATTATTTCTAAGAAAACAAAACATATAAAGAAAATGCAGGAAATTATGTCATGTCCATGTGTTAAGGTCAAGACATCTAAAATATCAAATAATTTGAACATTTTATGACAAGGCAAGCAAAACTTTGCATGCGTTTTAAACTACATTTTTAAATATTTTAAACTAAATCATTTTTAATTTTCTTTCATTTGTGATTGACTCATATTTAAGATATGATTAAAGGCATTAGATCAGCACACTGTGTCTAATCAAAGTTTTTTTTGTTTCTTTGCGTGTTCTTCTACAGGTTTACAGTTGAAAACTTTCTAATAGAGAAGCATGTCCGTTACATCCTCACCGTTTACCCTGTGATTATCTATGCTCTAATTGGAAGCCTAAGCAAGCATTACGACGCAGCAGCACCTGGCCGGAACTTTTCAGGTTAGTCAATGATAAACACACCCATGTCTTTTTGGTTAACCATAAATATAGCATCGTTAAATCACAAACTCATAAAACCATAAGGCCCCACATAAAGATGTTACATATTAAGGCTACATTGTGCTCACATTGCTTACAGTATCATGGTTTTATTTTCCATAGCGGTGCTCCTCGTGTTGGCCTGTATTGTGTTAGTGGTGCGCGTGGGGCTGGTGGTTTGGAGACACAGGACTCGGCCTCTCTACCGTGAAGTCAGTCCTGAGGTCCTGATGTCACCAAACAGCGGCACCGATAAATAACCATACATCATAAACACTCAACACTCATAAACTTCAAAGATGACATGCCCTGAACGGTAACCCTTCCAGGTGTGCAGTACCTGCATGAATGTGTTTCAGCTGGAACAGATGCTTTCAGAGTCTTCAGTTTTATGGAAAATATGCATGAAACAGCATACGGTAGCAATATTAAATCTATTCTGAACTTGAGCCAGGCCATGTCTAAGAGATTAATTGTGCCTACACTACCATTTTTAGGTGAAATAAGTCTCAGAAAGTCTGCATTTATTTGATCAAAAGAACAGTAAAAACAGTAATATTGTGAAACACTATTACACTTTCAAATAACAGCTTTTTATTTTAATACATTTTATAATGTAATTGTGTTTATATGCATGTCTACAGTAACTTGTGACCAAAATATCAATATTATACTGGACAGTATTATCATTTGGTTTTATTTATATATTTGTATTAACATTTAATATTTTAGTATACGCTTTAATCCAAAGCAAAATACAAAATATGGAAGCAATTTCTTACAGTATCACAAGCAATATATCATACAAGAGCCAACAATACTTGCAATACAATGTTTCAAGAGTAAGTACATACAAAAAAAGTTGGGATTTTGTTTTCTTGTGTTTGTGATTTAAGCTTTTAAAGCTCATTTATGAATGTTCAATAAAATACATGAAATGCATCTAATGTCATTTTTAATGTTTTGTGAGAAACAACTCTTATGTATGTTTAGTGCAAGTGCTCTGGAAACCACCTTGGTGTTGATTGCAAGCTGGTCTTTCAACAGTGAATACAGAAATGTTCAGGGTGGCCACACAACATTGTCTGGTGAATATACATGCTTTGATCACGGCTCTTCTTGTACATTTACTTTGGTGTGGATGTGAACTGAAGCATCTTGTCATGCATGTCTTTGCCCTTTGGAATGTGTGTCTCCTGGCAGCAGCTGCAGCAGGCTTGACCCTGTGTATTTTGGCTTGTTCACTACAGGATGAATTACTTATGAGAAACTACAAGACAAATAAAGGACATTTTTTCCTCCCAGGAGATTAACATCCACTCCATTTCAGACTCACTCACCCTGTGATAGTATTATAGGAGTATGTTAAGAATCTTTTCTTTGTAATGTTTAAATGATCATTTTGTATTTTAGAATAATGAAACAAATGTTGCATTAAATATTGAATTTAAAGACAAAAGTATGTATTATACTGACTACTGATATAGACTTTTTTTTATAATGCTATTTTAAAGATAATTATTTGGTGTATTTGGTGTAACAGATTGCAACTTTACAGATCTTCTTTATGCACCAAGAACTTGTAACACTCCAAAGAGAAAGGAAAACTTGAAATCGCATCATATGACACCTTTAATACCCACTAATCACTAATACCCATCATCTGTTACTGACAGAGCAAATTTGGTTTTTGATTACTTCAGCTTGTTACTCAAGTCGCGGGTTGTTATGATTATTATTACATTCAGACTGACATTATAGCTGCCTTGTCAATATGCATCTATTATTGCAACACATGGGTGAAATTTCAAGTGTTGTGGACATTTTAGTACTCAAAAGCATACAAATGTTAAGACTGCAAGAAAAAGAAATGTAATGATTAATTACAAATTTCCTTCACAGGTGTCAACAAAAGAAGTTGAGACTTATTTTTTACACAAAAATATAGCATATTGAGTCTTCTCACATTTTGAGTGGACAGTGCCTTTAAGGGGTTAATTAGGGATAATATCCAGACCCACCTGAAACTCCTTATCAGACTTTTTTGTGACAGGTAAAAAAAGGTTATATACGATCTTTGTATTTAGATATTATACAAGCATATTATCTTTTCAGTATAACTAAGCAAAGTATTTTTATCAGAAAAGCTGAGCAACACATTGTCAAGCTGTATTTATTTTAATTTACTGCAGATTGCCACACAAATTATGCATTTGAATGTGATGAACATAAATTAATTTAATGAAATAAGTCCATATTAAGACACTCCATTACAAGAAATCAATTCTTTCTTTGTACTGTTACATTTGTATGGGAGTAATTTTACATTAATTGTTCAATTACTGCTTCAGATGGCTTGCTCGCCACTTGTTCTGTAGTTGATATAGTCCTCTTCTTGACATCTGTCCCTTTGGAAATTTTCAGTTATTTCTTTCAAACGTGTTTCCAAGTGATAAACCAAAAATATCATGGCGATGTCGATGACCCAGACACAGAACAAGAAGTAGCGAGGCCAGTTGCCAAAATTGTCTTAAAATCACACACACAAAAAAAAAAACATGACAAAGGTGGATAAAAATACGTCAAGTAAAGTATTGACTGACAAGCCACAAAAAGCAGTAAATGAATGCAAATTTCTTACCACATATCTCTTTTGCTGTCATATCTTCTCAAAATAAAACTGAAATATTAAAATGAATTTACATATAAAATTACATGTTCTTGCAAAGTCACTTAAATGTGTTAAATGAAAAATGTTACCTTATCCTAAGTAGACTCAGTAGTACTAACCAGCATCATCTAGCAGCAACAATGAGGTGTTTCATGCTAATTGCTGCTAAGCACAGTCTAAAAAAATGGTGTTAAAAGACACTTCCTCTGTGGTCAAGCTGAAATGTTGAGTCGTAATTTAGTTTAGGAACTGAAAGTAAGATGCATTTCTGTATAGCCTCTGGAGATTCTCGGTTGTCATTGCAATAAGTAGTAGAATTATTGTCAGCTGTATGTGTTGCACTATTACTCATGGTAAACTGTAAAAACAATTGCTGTAAAAATACGGCCAATTTCCTACATCAAAATACTACTATTTCAATAAACAGTTAAATCATGTCAATTTACAGTTGATGATCTGTAAATTAAGCACTTGCGGTAAATTTACAGCATTTAACAGTAAACTTGTTTCTAAGAAAACAGTATCGCGCCGTAAGAAGTAGCACATGGGGGTGGGGGTGGCATCTGCAGAAAACAGTTAACGAGCTGACTAAAATATCACTATTGGAAAGTAACCACATGTGCAGGAGCTGTAACTTGTGAAGGAGACTTCAATATAATGCAGAAGTAAAGGGAGAACAAGTTTTTTGTCTCTTATTGTATTTGTGTCCCACTATCTCACTATCACAGTATTTCAAACCTAATGGAATTTCATGTCACAACTGTAAGTAACACACATTTGGATAATCATGGGCAAGATGATTGTCAGTCATTAAGCCCCTCTGAGACACTGAGATTAGATTCCACAAAGAGATCACATTGGTCAAGACCTCTGTCTCGGCCTGGAAGCAAATCATTGACATCTGCCGCTTAGATAACTTACTACTGCTCAGCCATGACTGAATATTACACCATGGACAGACATGAGAGTCTAAAGCAAGAGAGTGTTTCAGTTTGATCATGTACCTGCACTTTTTTGATCATTCAGAAAATGAGGAAAACTACTGAAAGGGCTCTATTGGACCAGCTGACAGAGCATCACGTCCAAATATATAATCTATCAGGACAATCCTCTTATCAGCACGTCAACCACTAGAAAAGCTGTTTTACAATCCATACTAATAAATGTTCTGTTTTCATTTTCACCACATTGTGTCATTGTATCTCCCATAAAGGTAAAAGGCTCCACATGCATAGTATCATGGATGATTCCAGTTTCAGTCAATATAATCAATTTGTCCAAGGTATTTAACATTCAGGCACTAATACACTTAAATAAGGAACAGCTGCAGATAGTATTATAAGTGTCTGGCTCACTGCAGTGAAAATACCAGTCTTTTTTCTGGTGAATTGTTAAATAATTTTAATCAGTTGGATGTGCAAAATTTGGATGTGGTCTCTCTCTCTCTCTCTCTCTTTTTTTGTTGAAACAGGTTGTGCTATTCCCAAAATACACTGGCACATGATTCCTTACGCAGGCCTCAACTTGTGCAGAGTTGGTATTCAAAGAGCAGGTTTAACACTTAGTATTTTTTTGTCTAATCAACTCTCAGCCAAACACACACATATCTGCATTACAATAAAAATGTTCAATATGTAATCAACCATGAACTTTACCACTGTTGTTTGTATGCAAAAACAGAAGCAAACAAATGGAGTAGTAAGAATTACCTAGCTAATACGACTTCAGCAGAAGCGCTAGTACTGCACAGTTTGCTCCCTCTCAAGGACAAAAAAGCCATAGACTATTACAATCATCCACCATTGCTTCTGGTTCCTTTCAGGTAAGGGGGTTTAATGTGCAAACTGATCTCTAAACAGATTTCATGCTGACTTGCTGGAGGGTAAATTTAGTCTACAGGTCCACCTTTGTGTCTGTCTGTGACCCTATTACATTTGGAGAATTGATTTGACCAAATGCTTATGAATCACTACCACCTTTTCTGCCCAAAGCATCAACCCTCTATGATTTAATTAGCTTTTACTCCTGCTCCTCTGTGATTTGACCTTGCCTAGTGGGTATTTTTATTGGAGGCACAGCTTTAGGCATACTAAGGTGAATAAAATGCCATAAACTCAGAATACCTATGAGGGTGCTTGAGTGAGGAATATGATAGAATAAACATTTTTGGTGACTGATTATTCTTAAAATAATATTATAGACTTTCTTTTTATGGCATTATAATATTCAGTGCCATTCATCTACTTGTTGTAGCATTAAATATCTTCACATGCTAATTTTGAATACGATGAGGCTTGAACAATATTTAGTCCAATACTGTACCTATAAGAATTTGTAGCAGACAGTCTACAAAATAATAGTCTAATGTTGTCTTAGGCTAATGAAGCAGAGATTATCTCTCTTTAGAGTTTTGTGCATACCTTGATATTGATAGCTGTAACCAAAAGACTTGGCTTAACCCACTTAAGTAAGAAAAACCCAGTCATTGTTCCCATGTTTATTTTTGGGTCAGACAGTCCTTGAGAGGGCGGTGCAGGGTTCCTCCATTCGAGCAGGATGTGGGCTGAAGGAGGAAAGTGGTCACCAACGTGGTGCCCGTGGGCACCTGGTAGCCCGATGATAATGAACATGCACGATATTGTTTTGATTTTTTGAATGCATTTAAAGCAGTGGTCACCAACGTGGTGCCCGTGGGCACCTGATAGCCCGCATGGAGTCTCTGAGTCGCCCGCCAAGCACGTTCTATAAATAGCCTAAATTAGCGTCGGGCGATAAATTATATCATATCAAGATTATGATAAAATTTATGTTAATAATGAT